TTGTCTTATCAACTATTGCCTTTGAAAGAAATCAGAACGAGATATTAAAATTAACTGAAAACAAATCATCACCAAGCACTAAAAATTTAGGTGGATAAATGACATTGAATCTGTAAGTTCACTTTTAAGAACCAAGTATACATACATGACTATACAATCACCTATACATGCTCTCCAAAAGTGGGAAATGCACTGTATGTTGCAATTTCACTCTCAAGTAAATGCTTCTGAGTAGCTTTTCCACATACTAAAAAAGCCCAAGGTTACATAAACTATCTAAACCAATTTTCTAAAAGACTTTGAACATAAGCAAGATATTAAATACTACAAAAAAGTTAACACATACATTAATAGTAACTAAAGTATAATGTGGTAGCATTCTAAAATATGAAATCCTAGCATACTTTGAAATAATTTCTATGTGAAAATAAGTTGCAAAATGTACATATATATTAAATCCATTCAGTAACAACATAGCTATAATAAATATATTTTGCTTCATACATCAGCTCAGTACAGTATCAGTTTATTATAATGATGCCTTGTTATATGGCAGGACATGTGCTAGTTTCTAGATCCAGAAATGCTGAAGATATGTTCCTATCCCTAAGAGCTTTCAGTTAAATGAGGAAAATAGATATGTTAGAAAATATGCCTACTACAATGTGAAACTCATTAATAAAGTATTGTACTCTTGAGTTATTTCAGCAACCCTGTTACTCTTGAGACCAATAGCATAATTTGCTGAGCTAGTTAAACCTTTATGGTTGGAGATGTTTTCAAAGTTAATGAAATGAACAAAGCTACCTGACTCACTGTTGTTTATGGCCTTCTGTGAAAATATCATGCTCATCCAACTGGACTAACAGCACAAATGAATCTCCAGATTTAGATTATTATTGCTAGAAAGCTGGCCTGTATTGATTCGTGAGCAAAGTGTCCACTCATTAACCACCAAAGATGTGAATGCTTTGATTTCTACTTTTTGCATACCTTCTGTAGTCTTTTTTTGAAATGTTTTTTTAAATTCTAAAAAACATATCCAGTGATAAATGATTGACTTACTAAAATATGGCTTTAGAATTCTCCCAAGATACATTTGTGATTATGTTGATTGGGAGTGAGGTGGAGGAATGAGATTCAACAAGGTTCTAGCCCAAATGGGGTTATAAAAGCTATAGAGCGAGGTAAGGAAATGAGATGTTTGATGTATCAGCTATACTAGGGAGAGTGAGGCAAAATCCATATGTGAAACAGATTCTACTGTGCTGGCCAGGTTCAATCTACCAAAAAGTAAGAGCTAGATAAGTTCTCTAAGGCAACTACACAAAGAGAAGTTGTGTAATCTCAGCCATTGTGGGAGATGTTAATGTGCTAAGCATTGAAACAAGAAGAAAAATTACGTCTTGATTTTAAAGGAATGGGAGACATGGTACCATTTCAAACACAGGAATGACTGTCAGGGAGACAGAATCCTAGGGCGAAAGACTGAAAATTATTACCTGGAGGCAGAGTTGTTTTCAATGTTAGAAAAAACTTTCTAGTAGAATTGTTAAAAATGGAGGTATTGGGACCAGCAGGTGGCGTGGTGGTTAAAGGGCACTGGATTCCCACATGGCCGAAAGCAGTTCAAGTCTTGGACCTAGAGGCTTGGTCTTTCACTTTCCTCTTTCTCTCTCTCTGCCTGATCAAACTAAAAATAATAATAATAATAAAGTTAAGTAAAATAATTGTTTTAAAAATGGAGATATTGACTCTTTACCCCTGAAAACTCTGAATTAGAAATTGAAGGGAAAAAAAATCATGTGCCAAGGTTTTTGTTTAATTGCCATAGGGCACCTGTACTTGCCAGAAAGAGACACAGAAAAGGAAAAAGAAAGTGATCACCGCCCCCCCCTCCCGGGGGGGGGTAGTGCAAGGGAGGGACACACCCCAATCCTTTCTTCTCTATCTATGTCTGGAGATTTGGGGCATGTGCAACACACACACATACACACACACACACACACACACCTGACAGGATTTTCAAGTCACTAGGGCTGAGACTAGAACCACATTTGGTCATATGAGAATCCAGTACCTTAACCATCATGCCACCTGCTAGCCCCATGCCAAGGATGTTTTAGAATTTAGAGGTTCCTTCTAGTCCAGGTTGGAAGATTCTAAGATTATTTTCAAAATTGAATGAGTCAGTGAATTAGAAGTTATCTTTTGATAAAGTTTTGATACATATATAATAGTATCATACTGTGATTAAACTCCCTAATTTGATATTCAACTTGATTAAGAATTAGTCATCAAATATAATTTATAAACTCATCTAGCTTTTTAAGACATATTCTTTCAAATTATATATTTAACTAAAATAATTACATTTGGCTATATAAATACATTTACAAGGAAATAGGAACAATAATTCAGGAGAAAATTTTAGGTTCTGGTCTTTCAGTTTCTATTTGCTATGGAATAGTCATGTACCTATTTATAAATAGAATGGAAAATCCCACTTAACTGACTATAAATGACATCAGCACCATTTGCAGACATTTCCTGAGTGATTTTTTTAAAGAAAAATTATCTTCAATAAAAATACTCCTAAAATTGTATAATTTTAAGACTCAAGTCCTATTGAAAAATCTTAAGTATGGAGAACCACTGAAATCAAGTTACTCAGAATGCCTAAAATACTACTAATAAATAAAATGAAGAAAGCAGTTATTATATATAAGAAAGAAATCGAGACCAAAATGTGTAACTAGAATGGAAGAATTTTTGGTCAAATGCTCGAGTAGGAAATTACTGGACTAATAATCTGCCACATGCCCCAGTCTTTGGTAACTGGTTTCATCCTAAAGTATGACTTTATAAAGTGGAGTAAAGTTGTTTCTTACATTGAACAGAAATCTGCTTCTTGGGGCCAGCAGGTGGCATGGTGGTTAAGGCAGCTGGACTCCTACATGGCTGACCGTGGTTGAGTCCTGGATCTGGCAGCTTGCTTTCTCACTTTTCTTCTCTCTCTCTTTGGTCAACTTAACAAAAACAAAATAATAAAATAATGACAATGAATAAAATTAAATAAAAATTTAAAAAAAAAATGAAATCTGCTTCTTTATAATTCTAGCCCTTATTTTTAGGTTGCCCTCCAGAACTATCCCATCCCTTTCCTCCATAAGACATTTTTGAGTCTTAGTCTTTTAGTTCTAAATAAAACATTGGATTCAGTTAAACTGAGAATGATAATCTTAAAGTAACATTATATATTCAACTGCATACTTAATATTTACATGTTTGACTTATTTTAAAATGGTATACTTGAGCTAAACATACTGGACACATATTCATGTTCTTGGTATCTGAGGAAAATGGAACCATATTGCATAAGTCTTAACTAATATCCTACCTTTCAACGGTAGCACATAGTAAATATTGCTGTGCTTAAGACCTTTGTTCTTCCCCAAATTAGTCTTGAATGTTATGGGAATGTAGTTCATTTTGATTATGCAAATATTCTTCATATTACTTAGTTTCAAAAGCTGTAGATGAACAAAAATGTTCCATATTTTAACCAAAGACTGAAGATTGCTCTAGAAATGTCCATTAATTTTGAATTCATTTTATATGTTAAATTTAATCTTTTTATATTTAATAACATTATATACATACTTTCAATTTTGGGAGACATTACAATATTAAAATATTTTTGCATGTTTAATCCAAATGTGGTAGAGCAAACAAACAATAATGGACCTAGAAATATTAAATAATTATTCACAGGACTGACAGAAATTTGGATAATGAGCACAATTATTTTGTCTCTTATACTGTCATACTGGCTATAGAAAATATACTTTATAAACAAACAAACAAAGAGACTAAGGAAAGATCCATAAGGGATATTATTTCCTCTTATTTAACCTTAGCTACAAGTTAAATCAAGAATATTAATTTGCTAAGCTTACACCAGAAAAATAAGAAAAATAGCACTTTCTGTAGATATTGAGAATTGTATTTTCAAGGGATCATTGCAATTCGCATGTCAGAAATTCAGAATGGAGGGTGAGGCCAGAATGATAAGTATTATCCTAAGACCTGAAGCTGCAATAAGAGGACATTAATTGGTTTAGTCATTAACCCTGGGTGGTTGGGTTCCTTAAAGTTTTTTTCAAACAGACAGCCATTTTCAATAAGACAGATCAAAAGAAAGTGTTATCTTTTCAACAAGATGCAAATTAGAGTTCTGTTAGTGAAGCAAGCCCAGCATAGATTACAATAGTATAAAGAAGAAGAGTAAATAGTTTGAGATTTTATGTCTAGACAGAATACCTGTCTCACATTAGTATCTGTTGAAGAGCACAAAGGTGCAGATGTGAAGGGATGACAATGAGTAAAAATTACTATAAAATAACCCATAGCAATTGTAGAAACTAGGGCATAAAACCTCTTGAATTAGAAAATGTACTATATACCAAGTGCAAAAGGAGCCACCTAATCCTTGATAACAACTATTTCTAGAAACATTATCATAAATCAATGGCCATTGGGAAGAAGAGTAAAAATCAAGATGATGTAACAATGAAAAAATAATTTTGCTTTAGTTTCTCTTTTGTGGAAGAGATGAACAATTCCTAGAGTCATTATTTAACAATTTTTATTTAAAATATATTCTATTTACATATACTTTATAGTTTAGTAGACTCACATATAGGTCACTGTGTTATGGTCTTTCTCAAATAATTTGTCTCCAAAGCCAAACATACATATACAGAGGCCTCCACTGAATTTTCTTTTTTTAAAGTTTTTGCCATAGGATGTGTGCACTTGACAGAGACAGAGACAATGAGAAATCACCTTCCCCCCCCACCCCCAGAGGGGATGGTCACAATGCAATCTCTTCTCCATTTTCCTCCCAAGATTTTGGGCATGCATGCATATGTGCCCAGTGTGATTTTTAAGCTGCCAGGGGTGAGACTTGAACCATGGTTGGCCATGTAGGAATCCAGTGCCTTAACCACTACACAACCTGCTGGACCAAATTTTACTTTTCCTTAAACACACATACATAGAGAAAAGACAAGAGCAAACTAATTGCTTAGATAGGAAGGCCACCAATTCTATAGAATTTTATTTTACACAACTGTCATCTGATTAGTGATAGTCCTGCTTTTAGAACTACATGAAAATGTACTCTCTTATTCTCTTATATTTTGAAAAATATATTTAAAACCTGATGACATATTTATATGGTAAAAGAGCCCTCTTTAAGTATACTTCCATTTAGAAACATACTCTGTCGATTTATAACAGATTAATAACTGATACACAAAAATATCTTCTCGCAAGGCATAACCTTCTAGCTGAGAACAAGAATGAATAATACTGTTTGCATTGAAGATGATTTAATATTAAACTAATGCAGGTTGTGAATGCTCCTATCAGTACCAAAAGCGTAGTCATTTTTTTAAAAATCAAGAGAATAATTTACTGAAGTAATAAACCAACATAGAGCTTTACAGTTGGCATATATCATCATAGACGATTGATAAGGTACTAACTTAAATCCTGAAATTTCTTATTTTAGCTCAAAGTTGAACAAAGAAATGCAATAATCTAGAGGCCAAAGTTTTTGCTTCCTCAATTATGTGGGAACCCAGAAATGGTACAGAAAAATTATTTTAGGACCAACATCCCATAATCTAACTGCTTCATTCAATGAGTTACATGTTAAGTTAAACTCAGGACAAGTAGTAGCTTAGAACTAATAATGCAATCAAGAATGTTAATTTACTAAGCTGGAGCCAGAAAATAAGATATGATGCTGCAACTGCTAAAATAGAAACAAACTGATGGTGAACACCTATAGAATCAGCAATTTTAAAAGCATTTAAATAACTACCGATGGTATTATAACACATACATTATCCTCTTAATGATGAACTGAGTCACAATAAAAGGTAAACTACTCTTAGTGTGCTATTTAGAAGGATGGTAAAATGTATTTTAGAAAAATTTCTGACCATAAGTAAAGGTCAAAGAAAGTGATTTAATCAAGTTAACTAAATGTTCAGAAAGGATAGAAATTCAACACAAATTCTTACAGAAGTAGGAGCCTTACCTTTTCTATTTTTCACCTCATACAATATATGGTATAAATAATCCATTTTAATTACCTCCAGAAATTTCTTCCATCTAAATATTATAAATCTGTGAACTTTGATTTGCTTTTACTAGTCTTTCATTCATAAAGTACTTTTAACAATCAAAGCATCAAAGCTTGTGAATATTATTTACATATGAAAATATTAAGTAGTCTGGATTCTCCAAAGTTAAATTATATTCAATATACTTTTTGGTAAAATGTATTTTGTATTTTAAGTTTCTGGGAACTGTTTATTCATGATGCATATATGTGTGATACATAGTAATTTTCTAATAGCAGGAACATGTTATTAATATGTAGAGACCTTTTTTATCAGTCTTTATGGTTAACAAATTCACTCTAGATTACTAGAACTAGAATAGTTTTAGAATGTCCAGGCACACGCATTTTTAGAAATGATTAGAAAACCATGGGTCCCTGTACTTATTAAACTGAATCACCTGGCAATAAAATTCAGTTAAGGCTCTAGGCATTGGTGACACTTCTTCCCACTCAGACCTGCTGCTGTGGTAGACCTGCACTTCATCTGTGATTTCATCTGGTGCGTAATCACCTCCTAATATATAAATTTTGTCTTCAATTCCAATTGCACCTGCATTAAAGCCTGCACATTCAAAAGATCCTTCACCCTTCCAAACACAAGTATCTGGACAAAAACTGTAAACCTTATAGGTGGAAAGGTCACATATATACAATGTGCAGTTTACTGGGACAGCTTTAATTAGTGTTGCATGAAAAAATTGTCCAAACTCTGCTACTAGTTCAGACCACTGATCAGTTGCAGCATCATATTTAAAAAAGCAATCAAGTGATGGGTTGAAGGCATCTGTAATCTCTACCTCTGATCCAAGAACATAAATTACATTTTGGCATGCACTGGCTTCTGGATAGTATATGCCTCTGGGTAATGGGCTAACTGATATCCATTCTTTGGAAAGAGGATTATAAGATTCAACATCCAAGAGACTTTTAATGTCTTGAGATCCTTTAGTCTTTCCACCTATGACAAATAATCTATTAAGAGCCATAACTGACGTATGCATGGTTCTTGGTGTTTTCATAGTTGATACCAAGAAGAAATCATTTTTGACTGGACAGTAGCACCAAGTTTGGTCAGTGGCATCATGATATGGCTCAGCAATATGAAGTCGAACTGTTCTACAACACTTCCCTTTGCAGCCACCTGTTAAGAATATTTTTTCTCCATAGCTAGACAGACTAGATCCTGGCAGATCAATCAGGTGTGATTGTGGCAGTATTTTCCACGAGTCAGTTTTAATATTATAGCAAAACGTATATTGATTTTCTCCATTTTCCTCAGTTTTATGAATGAAAATGTATTTTTCAGTTGTGGAGGGCCGAGCATCAGGGAAGAGTCCACCAGAACCTTGCACACATTTAATTGCATCCATGATTATGTCAAAACAGTTTGTGTTTTTGAGTAAACACTCTTCATTGAGCAGATAGTCTTGAAGTGTCTCCTCAGACAACTGATGTAATCTTACTTTTTTAATCAAATGAGGCAGATACTTTTGTCTTGATTCTAAGTTATATTTGGTCCAACTAAGGACGACCTTCAGTACTGTTTCTTCTTCAGGAACGTTTAATTCATCTGATTCCAGACATTTTTGTAATACTCCAAAATTCATCTCTAAGAAATCACTGGATTTAAATAATAGAGAAAAGTGATGTTGTACAAAGTATAATGCATGATCAAACAAACGGGTAGAGCCATAGCTATCTGATATAGATAATAACTGTAAACAATTGACAAGATTAATACTTTTTATTAAAAAGTCACTGCAAGCTTTGGATAGAAAGGAAACTTGAAGAAATGATGACAACTGGAAGAACATTTCCACATTATCATCTGTTATTTTTGTTTTTCCAGTATAGGCATAATCAAGAAATGCTTTTATTGCTTTGGAGGATAAATTAGTAATGGTAACACTTCCATCATCTCTTTCTTTCATGTTTACTTCAAACATAGCCCTGCAAAAATAAAGAATACATAAGAACAAGTAAACAGGAATATTTTATTCCATAATTATTTTCAGTGTTACCATAAAGAAATTTCCTTTACCCTTAAGTTGACTAAAAGTATATTTATTAAATCATAATTGAAAAGCATCTTAATAAATATTTTACCATCTAGAATAATTATATACCATATTATTTATTGGCCAACCAACATAACTTTCACATTGAAAATATATACATTATAACTGAGCTATAGCAAGTAATCAGAGTGATGATAAAAAGATTCAAATTTTACAAACTGATTTGCTCTTATGTATTATTCATAGAGTTAGGAGAAAATCCAGTGACAGAATTTATTTATTTATGGGTTAATTATTATCAACTATACTGGTGATAAGTAAAGTGACTTAAAATATAATACTTTTGGATTTTCAATTTAATGCTCTCTTTCAGATTAACCTTTGATTTGACAGTAATGAAATATGAAAGATGGACCATAGTGAGATGTCAAATGTCTACAGTGAATCTATGTGTAGGTGAAACTTCCACTTAAGAAAACATGTCTAAATAGACAACATTTATATAGCACTTTAGAGAAAAGAGAACATGACTTCATAAAACTAAACAATGGTGTACCACACAGCAACCAAAAAAAGCAAAAAGTAAGTTTTTGTGGTAATATCACTGAGGGAGGAAGATAAATTCTCAAATTTGAATAATTAGACCAGCTTGAAAGTTCTTAATAAATTCTTTTTTAAAAGAATTATTGTATTTAATTTCATTTATTATTATTGCTTTTTAATTTGACCAGAGAGAGACAAAGAGAGAGGAAGTGAGAAAGCAAGTTGCCATGTCTAGGACTTGAACGGCAGTCATCCATTGTGGTAGTCTAGTGCCTTAACCACCATGCTACCTGCTTGCCTGTTAATAAATTCTATTTTAGAGCCAGCTTCATGGCCTAGTGGTTGGGGGAGCCAAATCCCACATGACCATTCCAATCCCAGATCTGGCAGCTTGAAAAATATGCCAGATATGTGTGTAGTAGGATACAGAAATGGAGAAGAGATTATGGCATGACTGTGCTCTACTGAAGGGTGCTTTCTCTCTCTCCCCCACCTCCCTTTGATGAGTGTACTTGCACTCAGGCATTTTTATTTTTAAGTTAGATTTTAGCTCCACATAGTAAAGTTGGTAGAATCTGAAGAATTGGCAATTTCTTAGATTCAGAGTAGGCAAAAACATTTATTTGGAAATGTGAGGACTAGGACTAAAATTTATTTCACTTTTGGTTCTGGTTTAATAATAGTTTGTCCAGGACACCTTGATGGGTCAGTGCCCCCTGGGAACATAAGAACCCTGGGGAGAACCAGTTAACTTATAAGAGTCTACTCTAGAGGGTTAGTAAATCTATTAAGGAAGCACGACATCTACCTGAAAAACATAAGGGGTTTTTTAAATAAATAATATACCCCTAAGGGATAAAAAAAAGATGACAAAGTGCCTTCCTACTAGTCTATTCAATAGTTCTTAAGGGACCAGCAGTTAGCGTAATGGCTATTTTGCTGGACTCCCATGTAGTCGACCGCAGTTCGCGTCCCGGACCCAGTGGCTTAAAACTCAGGCCAGGTGCATGTGTGTGCATGCCCAAGATCCCGAGAGGAGAATGGAGAAGAAGGGATTGCGGCGTGGCCATCCCCCCCGGGGGGTGATTTCTCGTTTTCTGTCTATCTTTCTCTGTCTGTCTGCCGAGCTCATGCGCCCTAGAGCAAAATCCTCTTAAAAAAATAGTTCTTAACTTTCATGACTTACTGACTTTGGGAGGTGATTTTTTTTTTCTTTAGGTTTTGCTATAGGGCACATGTGCTTGCTATAAAGAAACAGAGAGAGACAGTGAGAGGGAAAATGAGAAATCACACCCGGAGGGGATGGCCAGGTCTCATCCCCTTCTCTTCCACTCTTCTCCTGGGATCTTGGGCACATACACATATGTGCCCAGCATGATTTTCAAGCCACCAGGTCCAGGATGTGAACTGCAGTTGACCATGTGGGAGTCTAGTGCCTTAACCACCCCTGCTGGCACAGGAAGGAATTTAACTTTGTTGTGCTTCAAATTCTTAATCTGAAAATAGGGATTTTGGTAGTATCTATCACATTGGGTTCTAACCAAGGAATAAATTAATTGATACAAGGTTATTAAATATTATAATTATTCTAAAAAAGGAAATGCTTTCTATCAGATTATTCATTTATTATTGCCAGAGAGAGAGAGAACTCCTCAGTGGGGCATGGTCACACCACAATCCTTTTCCATTCCTTCAGGATTTTAGGCACACATGCATGCACACATGACCTGTGTTTTGTAAGCCTCCAGGACTAGGATGTAAACTGCAGTGAGTCATGTGGGATCCACCTCCCTTTACACAGGGCTTAACCATAGCACTATGGAGCTGGCCCATATGTACTTTTAATTTACCATTAGCTTCCATATTCTGAGGAGACACAGTTAAGATCAATTTCTATACTTAATACTACTCATCTTTAAAATATCCAGTTACCGATATATTCTCCTCTACATTCTCTTTGAGAAGACAAATTTAAGAACTAAACTTCATCCTACTTACCTTTAGAGTCCAGTTAACATATTTCTCAAATTTACCATGCTATCAGAAAGTAGTTATTAATATGTATGATTTTTTCAGTTTTTCAATGACTTTATATCTCAGTCATAATTTTCATTTTTCAAAAACATTGTAAATGTATTTGTCATGCAGTATAAATACTTTTTTGACTTTTTTTTTTGTAGAGGTTTTTGCTCTAGGGCGCGTGCACTCGCCAGACAGACAGAGAGAGACAGAGAGACAGAAAGCGAGAAATCACCCTTCCAGGGAGGATGGGCACGCCGCAATCCCTTCTCCTCCATTCTCCTCTTGGGAACGCACGCACACGTGCCCGGCATGAATTTTAAGCCACCAGGTCCGGGATGCGAACCGCGGTCGACTATGTGGGAGTCCAGCAACATAGCCATTATGCTAACTGCTGGTCCTGACATTTTTCTTTTATATATATTTTTTAAGAGTCTTTTTTTTTTTTTCTATAGAGCACATACACTTGCTGGAAAGACAGAGAGACAGAAAGCAAGAAATCACCCCCTGGGGGCGATAGCCATGCCACAATCCTTTTCCATTCTCCTCTCGGGATTTTGGGCACACACACACACACACACACACACGTCCAGCGTGAATTTTAAGCTGCTAGGTCCAGGTTTCAAACCACAGTCAATTACCTGGGAGTCCAGTGATGTAACCATTATGCTATCTGCTGGTACCTTATTTTATATTTTCTATTCAGTATTTCAGTGAGTGAGTTTAATCACAACGCATATATAAATGAGTGCCTTAACCACCACACCACCTGCTGGCCCCTATACTTTTCTGTTTTAAAAGTAATTTAAGGGACCAGCAGATGGTGTAATGGTTACGTTACTGGACTCCCACATAGTTGACTGCAGTTCAAATCCTAGACCCGGCAGTTTAAAACTCACACTGGGCATGTGTGTGTGCGTGCTCAAAGTCCCAAGAGGAGAATGGAGAAGGGATTCCGGTGTGGCCATCTCCCTTGGGGGGGGGGTGATATCTCACTTTCTATCTCTTTGTCTCTGTCCCTCTGGCAAGCCCATGTGCCCTATAGCAAATATCTCTCCCCAAAAAAGTAATTTAAAAAATTAAGTATAGCCCCATAAAAACACTAAGAGTAAGCTAAACAAAGTACTATGGACAAAATTATGCGCAGGTGAATTTAATTAAAACATAACTTAAAAAGAGTAGATGACTACAAATTCAAATGCTTTCATGCAGCTCTTATGAGCATGAAAATATTATAGGGACATTAAATTGTATTACACGAGATTAGGTCCATATTTTGCTAGTTTGGAAAATAATAATTATAGCAACTAATATTAATTGAATGTAGTGGGCACTGTGCTAATCATTATATATACATTGTGTCATTTAACCCTCCTAGTAATTCTGAGTTAACAGCTACTTTTATTATCTTAATTTTTTACAAATGAGAAAACTGAGACCTGAAACAGTTAAGTAACTTGCCTAAGGTCTTATGTCTAGTAAGTGGTGGGTTTGGTACTTAGATTTAGGACGTATGTTTTAATGGGCTAAGTATTTAACTGTCTCAGTTTCCTGTGAAAAGGCCAACATGAATGATAAGGAAATGAAAAAGAGTTATATGGAAGAGGAGCTCAATTAGGAGAGAAGAGGGCAGACACTAGTGGAACCTGAGAGTGGCAGAATACCAGAACAGTTAAGGTCCCAAAGGAGTTCAAAGGAGAATAATAACTTAAATTACCCAAGAGAAGAAATGAAATGAATAGGTGAAGATGTATAGTCTAATTTGGCAAACAACTAGTTCAAGATCTGTAGCCTCCCTGTCCCCTGTGAACGGTGAGGCAGCACAGAGCCACTGCTCCCAAATTCAAAGGAAGGAACCATACCAAAGCAGGTATTGGTCAAATAGTAAATAAATAAATGTTTGCAGAATGAAGTCCAGCTTATTTACTCCCAAAGGCAATAAGGATGAGGTTTAATAGAAGTTGGTAGGAAAATAGGGGTTAAATTAAAAACAGTTTAACTTAACTTGCATCTTTGTGTTTCTGTATCTTGAATCTTACTTTCTTTTTCTTTTCTTTCATTTTTAAGTTGCTATAAGGTGTATGCACTCACCAGAGAGAGATGGGGGGAGGCAGGGAATGAGAAATCACTCCTCAGGGGGATGACCATGCTGCAATCCCTTCTCCTCCATTCTCTTCTTGGGGATTTTGGGCACACATGCACATGTCTCCAGCGAGTTTTTCAAGCTACTGGGTCTGGGTCTCAAAACTGAGCCATGTGGGCTCTGGCCATTTCAACCACCATGCCACTTGACTAGAGCAAATCTTACTGTTTTTTGTTTTGTTTTTAATCAAGTTTATTTATTGGAGATTTAAATACTGTTTATTTTGAATAAAAATTGTTTCCAAAGTCGAAAGTAATACAAAATACCACAATTTGGATTTAAGATTACTGTGGTTAAGACTAGGAGGCCAACTATCAGCCTGTCACCACAAAAGGCTTGCCTTTGTGTTTACTAAGAGGTCCTACTGGATGGTATTTCCTTTATACAATTACCACAGTACTGAGGCCATGTGTCTGACTCTAAGCCTTACAGAATCAGAAAGCTGCCATCATTATTCCAGATTCTTTCAGCGTCAGTACTAGAACATTCTCTGTAGGATAATATGTGGGAAACCAGATTCTATTCAGAAGGTTGCTTAGAATCTGAATAAGTTGGGTGTTTTTGAGGAATGCTTTTTAGCTAAGAAGTGCTTTACTATAAGAGTATCTCTTATAATGACAGGAATAATTTTAAAATCCTGTGGGTTAGAGCTCTTCTCCCTGGACAATATTACTTGTATGTAACAACTGCTATTTCCCTTTCTGGAAACTTTGCTTCCATTTTTGTTTTACCTGTCCTTTATTTCTCATCTAAAATAATACAGTATAGGGATGCCTCAAACAAGGTTGATTCCAGATCAAATAATTTCTCCCCAGAACACTTCTGTAGACTGATGTTCATATAAGTTTGGCAAATGCTGACCTAAAGGAAGTCTTCAAAAAAGGTAGTCCTGGGTCAACAGATTGTGTGGAGGTTAGGGTGGCTGCATCCCATATGGCCAGTTGGTCAGTTCAAGTCCCTGACCTCATGGCTTGAAAATCACACTGGGCTGTGTGCGTGCGTGCCCCAAATCCTCAGTGAAGAGTGGAGAAGGAATTGTGGCATGGCCATCCACTCGGGGTGGGGGGGGGTGTGTGAGGCAGTGATTTCTCATGTTCCCTCTCTTTCTGTCTCTTGTCTTTGGTCAATGCACATACTGATAGCAAAAACCAAAACCAACAGAAATAGGTAGTATTAAATTCTCCTATGCAAAAATTACTACTTAATCTTGGTTCTCATTATTTTTTTCTCTTAAGAATTAAAAATTACTCTTTCATGCTCCTGCGGCTGACAAATGGAGTGTAGTTATAAGACATAACTTAATTATAAATATCATAAAACCTGAGGCATAGACAAGGTAAAGTACCTGAAAAAGTCACTGCATGCTGCTAACACACAACGATGACATGGGATTATTTCATCTTTCATAATTATTTTGAAATCATAAAAGATATTTTGTTCTCTAAAATTCTGTAGTACACTTAGGATTTTCTGTCCATGGTCTTCTGACACAAGGAAGTTGTTGTTTTCAGATGGAATTCCATTACATGAGCTTCGTTGATTGAAATCATATGAATTATCCATAGCCAATTCCATATGTTCTTAGAACTGGAATGAAAAAAAGATCACCGAAACAGTAGCAACTTAATGAAATTCTCAAACTCTAATTTGCCCTCTTAGTGTCGTTATATAAAAAATGCTAAGAATATCACAACATAGTAAACCTTGTTCTAAACATTTTTTCTCAAGACATTTAATAATACATGCTTTTTGAATTTTTAATGTTTATTGGAACAAAACATTTATTATGAAGGAATAACATTCAGGGTTCTATAATTGTGTTAGAAAGCAAATTTTACAACTTGTATAAACAGTTTATGTAGGATCTCACTGCACAAGGCGTTACTGTTACACATAAGACTCAATATTTCTATAGTAGTTATTATTTGGATATATATTCAGCATCTTCCCCTCCCCTTCCATCCGTTTTTTTTCTGGTAGCAAAGCTGTTAAAATGTTGACCTGGGGTGAGGGGCAGCAAGTGGCATGGTGGTGAAGGCACTTCCCACATGGCCCACTCTGAGGTTCGTGTCCTGGCTTGACAGCTTGAAAAATCGAACCAGGTATGTGTGTGTGTGCATGCCCAAGATCCTGAGGGGAGAATAGAGGAGAAGGGACTGTGGTGTGGTCATCCCCCTAGGGGGTGATTTCTCATTTTTCTTCTCTTTGTCTCTCTCTGGTGAGCACAGGTACCCTATGGCAGAAACCTTAAAAAAATAAATAAATAAAAAATGTTGATCTTGGGGCTGGCCTGTGGTCTAGTGGTTAAGGGAGCTGGATCCCACATTGCAACTGCAATTCAAACCCTGGTCCTGGTGGGTTGAAAGGAATGGTGGCACATGTGCATGTATGCCTCAAATCCCGACAAGATGGAAAGATGAAGATTGCAGCATGACCATGCCCTAATGGGATATGCTTTTTCTCTCTCTCTGTCTCTCTCTGGTAAATGAATGTACCCTATGGCAATTAAAAATCAGTGATCTTAGAGCCCTTACAATATGCCTCTAAAATTAGACTTTAAGAAGAGAATTGGTTGAAAACAACAAATGGTAGATTGTATTAACTAGTTATTGTAAGAAGAAAAAGGAAAGCATTGGTCTAAGTTGACTTATTTAAAACCAGAAGGGAAAACAGCATATAGCACTCTCTTAAATGTATTCTCTCCATGTGGTTGTGCTTCTTTGCAGCATGGCAGTCTCTGGGTAGCTGGAATTCTTGCACAGTTCCTTGGTTCTCCCAGAGTAAGTGTTTTAAGAGACACAGTTGGGAGCTAGAGACTGGAGAAGTAGTCTGAATGGTCTTAGTGTATCAAAGCTCCATTCTATCACTGAGACATTCTATAGCTGTTCAGTGTAGTAACTTGTTAGCCATGTGTAGCTATTTAAATTTAAATCACTTATAATTAAATACAGTTAAAAACTCAGATCCTTGGTTGCTATAGTCATATTTTAAGTGGTCAGCCACATGGTACGATAGTTAATTATTTTTGTTTTAAAGAATTGTTTATTTGGGACCAGCAGATGGTATAATGGTTATGTTGCTGGACTCTCATGTAGTGGACCACAGTTTGAGTCCCAGACCTGGTGGCTTAAAACTCAAGCTGAGCGTGTGTGCGTGTGTGTGTGTGTGCACCCGCACGCGTGCATGTGAACAAAATCCAAAGAGGAAAATGGAGGAAAAGGGATTGTAGTGAGGCCATCCCCCTGTGTGTGTGTGTGTGTGTGTGTGTGTGTGTGTGAGATTTCTCTCTCTCTCTCTCTCTCTCTCTCGCACGCATCCTATAGCAAAAACCTCTCCATCAAAATCTCTTTCTCTTTTTGTTTTGTTTTTTTTTTGAGAGGTTTTTGCCATAGGGCACATGCGCTCAACCAGACAGAGACAGAAAGACAGAAAGGGAGAAATAACCCCCATGGGGGATGGCCACACTGCAATCCCTTCTCCTCCATTCTCCTCTTGGGATCTTGGGCATGCACACACAGGCGCCCGGCGTGAGTTTTAAGCCACCAGGTCCAGGACGTGAACCACGGTCGACTACATGGGAGTCCAATGACATAGCCATTACGCTAACTGCTGGTCCCAGCAAAAATCTCTCTTAATAAATAGTAATTTTATTTATTATTATTAAATTTGACCAGAGTGAAAGAGAGAGAGCAAGTTAGAAAGTAAGGTGCCAAGTCTGGGACTTAGACCACAGTCAGCCATGTGGGAGTCCAACCCCCCAACTACCTTGTCACCTACTAGCCCCACGATTGTTAATTTTAATGTGTCAACTTGACCTGGCCACAGGGTGCCCAGATATTTGGTTAAGTATATTTCTGGGTATGTCTGAGAGGAGATAGGATTAACATTTGAATCAGCAGGCCAAGTAAAGCAGATTGTCCTCCCTTTGTGGGTGGATCTCATCCAATCTGTTTGAAGGTGTGCATACATAACAGCCTGACTGTCTTCAAGCTCGGACACAGGTCTTCTGCCTTTACTGCCAAACTCAGACTAGAACTGTATCATTAGTTCCCCAGTTTGCTGACTGCAGATCCTAGGACTCCTCAGGGACTGTAATCGCTACAGCCAATTCCTTATAGTGCCTCAGTTTCTCTTTCTGTCTGTTTCTAACTGGTCGATTACAGGTTCTGCTTTTCTGGAGAACTCAGATGTAGCTAGTATCTATTGTATTATATATAAAGCAAGTATACTACACTTCTATCATCACAGAAAGTCCCATGAGATAGCTCTATACTATATGAAAAATAGTGTGCCTGTGTATTTTTATATGTGTAAATGTGTGTGTGTGTGCACACGCAAACATGCATATGCATAAAGGAAAGTAATAGTATGTAATTGACAGTACTGTCCAAAAAATAAGTTGCTTGCAGAAATAATTTTGTGAGTAGTGTTGTGCATAATTGTATACAGGGAGACCTGTTAAGAATGAGGCTAGTTCTGAGGCCAGCAGGTGGCATGGTGGTTAAGGTGCACACTCCCACATGACTGATTACAGTTCGAATCCCAGACCTGGCGGCTTGCTTTTTCACTTTCCTTCTCTCTCTGCGTGTGTCTCTCTCTGGTCAAATTAAAATAAATAAGAATAAATAAAATTTAAATAAATAATTCTAAAAAAAAGAATGAGGCTAGTGCAGTGGCACGGTAGTAATACAACACTGTGAGGCTGACGCCATATGGGAAGGTCCTCAGTTCATGTCCTGAGGTATATGCTGGGTGTGCCACATATACCCGTGATCCTGGCTGTCCAAAGCTGGGGGTGGACTGTGGCTTGAAGACCCTGTTCTGGGTGCCTCCTGGTCTGTCTCTGTCTCTCTCAGAAAAAAATAATAAATGTTAATAATGAATGAAAGTAGGTATCATTGAGGAAAGGAGATAATGAGAGGCTTGGGGGCAATTCTGAAGAAAAGTAAGCAAAGAAACAAGTGAAAGAGCTAGATTGGGGGGAGGGGGGAGAATGCCTAGATTTAAAATACTTGAAATTTTTTTCCCAGAAATTTAGTATACACAATAGCTCTTATATATATGAGATATTTTAACAAATAAAAATCATACTTAACATATATGTTATATTATAATAATACCATGGTAAATTGTGGTATGATGATTGATATCTACATTAAAGAATTGTACTAACAGATATACTGTTTTAAGTATTTGTAGCAATGTGAGATACTGGCTGGCCCCTTTCTCCTTTTCTGAGTCTATAAAATACACAGATTTGAAATATCTTATCTAAAAATAATGTATCTTCCCAAGACTATAATACAATGCTGTTATAACAGATAAAGCAGAAATTAGGACTATTTCTTTTAACTGACTCATAAACAAACAAAAACAAAAAAATAAGCTTCAATCACAAACAGCTAAGTAGCTGGTTGGTAATAATACTAGGAATTTCCCATCAGAACACAAACACATCCACATAAGGCAAATACATATGTGCAGCCAGTCCAGTAATTTATGTACTTTATTTTTAGGTTCTGCCTGTGAAAGTTCAGGCTGTTGAAGTGGAGTTCTCTGAAACCCTCTTTAAGTTTTAAGTACTTTCTGATTAAAATATTTTTCTTTGTTCAAATGAACTCTAAACTTAATTTATCTATAGTTTTTATTTTAACAATATGAAACAGAAGGAGTAGGTTTTAGAAATGTATAGATATGAGATCCAATGTGTTATATGTGAGGCAAACAACTTTTTAAAAAAGAATAATATAAAAATTACTTATTTATTTGAGAGGTTTTTGCTATAGAGCCTTTAGACTCGTCAGATAGAGGGAGACAGAAAGAAGAAATGAGAAATCATCCCCCCAGAAGGGATGGCACTACCACAGTCCCTTCTCCTCCATTCTCCTCTTGGGATACTGGCTGTGCATGCACACACACCTGGCATGAGCTTCAAGCTGCCAGATCTGGGTCTTGAATTGCGGCTGACCACATGGGAGCCTAGTGCCTTAACCAGTACATCACCTGCCAGCTCCAGTATCTATCTTTCTACCTACCTACCTACCTACCTACCTATCTATCTATCCATCTGTTGTGATTTTCAGGTTGCCAAGGCCAGGACTTGAACCATAGTAGGCCATGTGGGAGTCCAACACCTCAACCACCATACCATCTTGCTGGCCCCAATGCAAATAACTTCTAATCTTTGATTCTCATTTTCTTCACTTGTAAAATGGGGATAAACTATACCTATCTAGTTGTGTTATTGAGAAGATTAAGAAGAATACATAATTTTGGAGCCAACAGGTGGTGTGGTGGTTAAAGGCGCTGGATTGCCACATGGCGAACCATGGTTCGAGTCCATTTACCTGGTGGCTAGCTTTCTTGCTCACTTGCTCTGGTCAAATTAAAAAATAATTGTAACAAATGGAAATAAATAAATAAATAAATCTTAAAAAAAGAATACATAATTTAGCCTATAATATGTGCCAAATAAGTAGAAGTCAGAACTTAATTTATATAAATAATTTAAGGCAAAAAAATTATTTACATGACATTAATTTACTCATAGATAGAGGGGGAAGGGACAGGTGGAACAGCTTCCTAAT